GAAAGCTAAAGAGGTTAATACATAGACAAAATAGTCAAAAGAAGAAGAAGAAAAAGAAGAAGAAAGATGAACCTTTATTGGAACATGAATAGATTAGATGTTTATATAATTGATATGTAAGATTGAATGATTATGCATTTGATGTTTTCTTATTCTCAAAACCCTTTTTCCATCCCCCCCACTGCCCTTTGCCTTTTGTATTCCTTCCCCATTACCCAATAGTTTTGAAAATAAAATTAAAAAATTAAAAAAAAAAGGGTGAGTGAGACAGACCTACTGGTCAAGGGAGACCCTACAGTCCCCACACAGAGCAGGAGGCAGGTTCTCTCCCATCCCAGCTGAACAGGGAGTCCAGAAAGAGCGAGCAACTGCTGTCTCTTCCTACAGGGCACACAGGTGGGGAACTTCTGTCCACCTTAGGTGTGAATTCAGCCTCGGAGATGCTGTCTGGGGCGAAGGCATAAAGGTGGAGCCAAAAAATAAAAAATACTGCCATTTAGCTTAAAGCTGTTCTTGTCTCTAACTAAGCCTTCAGAGAGGAAGGAGCAGCTTGGAGTAGGGAGCACCTCACCTTTTTGCTCTCCTTGCACAGATGAGTAAATATTTTCAGAACAGGGGAAATGACAGCACAAAAATGGAAACTGCCACATAATTGTGTTATGAAGGAAAGGGCAGGGCCTTCAAAGGAGCCCCATGGGGGTCCATCCTCCAGCATCTAAAGTTCCCCACCCATGCTATAAAGACAAGTCAAGAGCAGCATATGGAAATCTTGTTGCCATACAGACAAAAGCATGTCCTTTAGCATAAAAAACGAGTAGCCTGGCTCCCACCAAGGTCAGAGAAGGGAATGAGGATGGCTATGTTTACATGCAGTGTTTCTATATACTCTTTCACTGTTAATGCTTATTGGTAGAAAATTGAAGCCCCTCCCAAGGTAGATACTGTATATATCAACAGACCAGAGAATGCAAAACAGAGAATGCACTATTTCCCCCCAGATGCATCTGGCAACTGAGCCAGGAGGACAGTTCAGATCACATGACGCCCAACACAAGTTTAGGTGACCACAGGGCTGAGCAGTGCATGGTAAAGCAAGAGCTCTGAACAGTGGCTTTTTGACAGCACAGACACCTGACCTCTGAGCCACTTGCATTTTTGTTTTTTTTGGTTTCAAATGAATTCCAACAAACAGGCTATTATATGGTCAACAAGTAGCTTCAGAAAGGTTTTGAGATCCCTGTCTTTGTTAGGTAACTGCTTTGTTGAGCCAATCAAAAGTGGGCACAAGATTTCAAGATGTTTGCACCTGTGTAGGAGGGAAGGGATGAGGCAAAAAGCAGGCAAGAAATGTGCCTTTCCACACTACTTTTATCAAGTGGGCAACCAATTCCTCTCTGCAAATAAGCCTCAAAAGGGTAGTTTTAACAGATAGGAAATAACAGCTTGTAATGTCACCTAAAGAGCCAGGGGTGGTGGAGCAGACAAGAGTGACAGACTCGACCTTGGTTCGGGTCTCTGCTTGGCCAGGGAAACTCACTGTGGGGCAGCAACAATAAAACCATCCCTAACCACTTCCCATGTTTTGAACTAGTTACTGTAGTACGGTTGCCATCCGTTGGGTCTTAAAGCAGTGACAACTTTAGGTATTTATACACTGCATATGACTCAACGTATTTTCTTCTCGCTATTTAAACATCTTGGCCTCTTTCCACGGGAAACTCCGGCGCAGTTGGGCGCGCTCAAGCTTTTCAAAGTCCATTCTGGCTAGTGTCAAAACACGCTCGTCTGGAAGATCCAGTCTGTTTGAACCGCCTGCGGGTGAGAGATTCCTGCATCACGACACGAAAACATGTCCGCAGAAACCGGGGGGACCGCCGGGGAGCCTCTGCCGAGGAAACCAAGCGGCCGGCTCGCTGCCCAGGCCTTTGGGCGGCTGCTCATCAAAGCATGAGAAGCGCCGCCGCTTTCGGGGCGCGCCAAGTCGGGGAGGCCCCGGGGCCGTCCGTCGCCGCGCTGCCTTTGACATTACCTGCATATCCACTTGTGGCACTCAGAGGGGGAGCCCCGGGATCGCCGTCGCCGCTGCCGGCTGGAGCTTCCGGGCCGGCGCTGGGCTCCCGCTCGGGGCCATCCGCGTCCACAGCCTGGCCGTCTGGGTTGTTTGCCTCAGCCATCGGGTCGAGAAGGCGCCCCTCAGCATCCCTCCGGGCCTGGACCTCCCTCGGCGCCGGCCCAGCCCCCGAGGAGGCGCACGGGATCAGGGCCCTTCCCTCGCCCTTCGCGGGGGAGCCGCCGAGCCTGCCCGGCCTTCCTCCCACCGGGATTGGTGGAAAAGCGACTAACCCCGCGGCTTCCGCCTGCCCAGTTCATATGGCCGGGCGCAATCGCTCTCGCGTTCTCGGTCTCTCTCTCGATCTTGTTTTTTAAAAAGGGATCGGGCTTGGTTTACGGCAGGAAAAAAAAACCGAGGGCAAAGCAGAAAATCGGGGCAGCGGGGGCGGATCACCGCCTTTGAGAGGACGACGTTTTAATCAGTTTCTTACACAGTTGGCGGGAAGAGACGAGGGAGAGGTGACGTGGTCGTCGTCTGCAAGTCCGTTTCGGAGATGCAGGAGATGATGAAGCAGATTTGTCTCCCGTGTTGCCAGAGCTGGAGTGGCCTCCCCGTCCCCTTCCCCTGCAGCTCCTGTCGATCTGCAAACTCCCAGCTGAAAGATGAGGGGGGTTACAGACCAGCAACATCTGGACAGCTGCAGTTAGTCCAACCCTGCTCACCAAGAATGCAAAAGTCCAATGAGTTCAAATGGCAAATGGGATTTAGAGTAACATTGGGGGGGGGGGAATTCTTCCTCCGAGAGCAGGAGCTAAGTGCCAGAAGACTAACGTTGTCCCTGTCTTGCAAAAGGGCAAAAGGAGGAACTGGGGAACTATAGACCAGTCAGCCTAACATCAATCCCAGGGAAAATTCTGGAACAGATAGTAAAGCAGTCACTGTGCAAGCACCTACAAAACAGTGTAGTAACAGCTAGAGGCCAACAGGGATTGTCAAGAACAAACCTTGCCAGACAAATTTTAGCTCACTTTTTGATGGGGTAACCTCCCTGATAGACAGAGGGATGCTGTAGACATAGTATATCTTGACTTCAGCAAAACTTTTGACAAAGTGCCTTAATTATAATTATAATTACAAGCTTTGTCTTTGCTGGAGGGAAGGTGGAGTACCACAGGACATGAAGGATGCAAACATCATCACATTGTATAAGAACAAAGGAGACAGGGGTGACTGCAATAACTCCATGGCATCTCTTTTCTCAGCATTGTAGGGAAGCTGCTTGCCCGTGTTGTGCTGAAGAGACTCCAGGCGCTTGAAGACAGAGTCTATCCAGAATCACAGTGTGGATTTCAAGCTACTAGATCCACCACTGACACGGTATTCTCCCTCTGATAGCTGCAGGACAAATGTAAGGAACAACAATAGCTACTCTTTGTGCCTTTATAGATCTCACAAAGGCCTTTGATTTGGTTTGCAGGGATGGCCTTTTTAAAATACTTCCCAAGATTGGATGTCCACCTCGGCTCCTTAACATCATCAGGTTCTATCATGAGGGAATGAAGGGCACTGTAGTTTTTGATGGATCAACATCAGATCCCTTTGACATCCGAAGCAGATGAAACAGGGCAGTGTCCTCGTGCCGACCCTGTTTGAGATCTTTTTTTTGCTGTCATGCTGAAGCACGCCTTTGCAACTGCAACCGAGGGTGTCTATCTCCGGACTAGATCAGATGGAAAGCTCTTTAATCTCTCTAGATTGAGAACAAAGACCAAAGTCCAACTGAAATTCATACGGGACTTCCTCTTCGATGATGATGCAGCCGTTGTTGCCCACTCTGCTGAAGACCTCCAACAACTCATGAATCGTTTTAGGAAGGTCTGCCAAGACTTTGGACTAATTATCAGCCTGAAGAAAACACAAGTCATGGGCCAGAGTGTGGACTCACCTCCCTCTATTACCATCTCCACACAAGAATTTGAGGTTGTTCATGACTTTGTGTACCTTGGGTCAATGATCTCTAATAACCTCTCCCTAGATGTCAAGCTGGATAAATGCATTGGCAAAGGAGCTACCATGTTCTCTCGACTAACAAAGAGAGTACGGCTTAATAAGAAGCTGACGGCATATACCAAGATCCTGGTCTATAGAGCCTGTGTCGTGAGCACACTCATGTACTGCAGTGAATCCTGGACCCTTCATGCACGGCAGGAGAGGAAGCTGAACACGTTCCATATGCGTTGTCTCCAATGCATTTTTTGTAACACCTGGCAGGACAAAGTTCCAAATAGAGTAGTCCTAGAACGAGCTGGAATTTTTTAGCTTGTATACATTACTGAAACAGCAACGTCTACATTGGCTTGGGCATGTCGTGAGAATGGCTGATGGTTGGCTGATGGAGAATTAGTGCAGGGAAATTGCCCAGAGGGAGACCACAGCTGTCCAGCATCCTTTTGAAGGGCATTCCAGTTTTTCATAAGTAGTCTTCAGCTTTTCTCATTTAGATCTAAATGAGAGTACCCCAGGTTTGGAATCAATATTCTAAAAGAAATGGATGTTCCACAGCACTCAGTTGTCCTATAAGCCCAGTTTGCTTCCTTTCATGTCTACAGCATAGTTCCATTTTGACAAACAGTGTTGCCAATGTAGTGAGGGTTGGGATATCTTCAGCATTTAACAGTCAACATTTGTAGCTGATTGCCACCTTCCAGATCAAAGTTGAAATCTTTGGGAGTCTCAACTCAAGCATCACTGCAGGTGCAATACATGGTGTCAAGGTTAATATTTTGCTACGGAAGTTTAACTACAGTTTCTCAAGTTGTTCTGTTGGAGCCAAAATCCAGATCTGGGAGTCAAACAATAAAAGTGGGAGCACTAGAGTTGTGCATGCCTTCAGGAACACAGGTACATATTGAGTTCCTTGAATGTGGAAGAACTTCTTCAGGGCTAGCATGGTTAGTTTGGCTTTGTGCTTAAGATATTGAACGTGGTTGGGCCATGTTAGATTTGACTGAAATACAATCTCTAGCTATTTGAACTTGTTGACTTGTTGTAATGTATATGTATCAATTTTCTACCTTTTGTTTGACTGTCTTGCTAACTTTGAAAATATCATAATTTTGGATTTGTTATTGTTTATCTCCAGTAACTCTTCATTACAGTAGGCAATAAATGCTTTAATGGCATGTTTTGGGCCAACCAGAGTTCTCAAGAGCGTGAGTAGAGATGCTTTATAGGGCATTTTTCAATTTTTTTCATGCACCCCTAAATGTCCTGGTTTGTAACCCTGGGATACATGTACCCCAGCTTGAGAATCAATGTTCTAAAAGAAATGGATGTTCCACAGCACTCAGTTGTCTGTGTACAAGAAGCTAGTGTTAGGACGAAGGTGGAGATGGAGAATGGTTTCCTGTCGGCAAATATGCTAGACAAAGGTGCATTTTATCTCCCTCTCTATTCAATCTGTGTGCAGAACATCCCATACAGAAAGCTGGATTAGAGTCAGATGAAAAAGTGAAAACCTGGTGGAAGAAACACCAGATATATAAATGTCACCATATTACTGACAGAAAGCAGCAATTATTTGAAATTATTCTCGGGGGAGATGGAAGAATGTGTAAAAGTGGGACTGCAGTTGAAAATCAAGAAGACAAAAATCATGACTATAGAACTTCAATGTTAGAAATAAAGACATTGTTATTTTGCAAATGGAGACTGCAGCCAAGAAATCAGAAGAAGACTAAGACTGGGAAGAGCAACAATAAAAGAAGTAGGAAAGATTAAGGAAACTGGTCACTGGAAACCAAGGTCAAGATCATTCATGCTGTTGTGTTCCCGAATATTATGTATGGCTATGAAAGGAGGACCATGAAGAAATCGTACAGGAAAATAATCTATGAATTTGAAATATGGCTGGGGAAGAGTGTTTTGCAAATAGCTAGACCGTGAGAAAGACAAACAAGTGGTTCCTAGATCAAATCAAGCCTTAACTCTCTGTAGAGGAAAATGTGATGAAACTGAGGCTGTTGTACTTTGAGCACATCACAAGAAGAAGACAAGATTCAGTGGAAAAGATAATAATGGTGGGAAAGGTTGAAGGCAGCAGAAAACGAAGGCCAAATAAGAAATGGATTGACTCCATAAAGAAAGCCACAGCCTTGAATTTGCAAGAGCAGAGCAGGGCTATTGATGATGGGACTTTACAGAGATCCCTCATTTGTAGAGTTGCTATGAGTTGAAGGTGACTTGGTGACCCACAACAACAACAACAACAAAAATATGACTTTTGCTGTCTTCCAGCTCTATGTTTGTGTTAAAACATTTTCACATTCGGTTGTAGTATAGAATGTCTGTCCTAGGGGAAGGGCATGGGCTTTGTACTCTGTAGTTCTCCAGAGATATTTTAATGGCTGCTGCTGGAAACAGGAACAATATGGTAAACCAGCTTTCTTGTGTGCGCACAATAATAGCAAGAATAATTTCACTGAAGTGATATTGACTTTCCATGTTCCTTTTCTGGATGAATGGCAACCTTGAAAACAACAGGCTTGCAGATTCTGGTGCTGCCTTTACTCCAAAGTGAATGAAAACAGCAAGTGTATACGTTGCCTGCCAGAGGCTGTGACTATATCGACAAAAATTCAGAACAGAGATTTTTTTTGTTGGTGGTGTCCACATGACATAAGGGTAGAGGTAAATCAGCATAGAACACACACACACACCCCGGCCCAACCATATTGTTTCTCTTCGCTATTTGGCCTTCTTTTTACCACATCAAATGCATTTCCATTGGTCCAGGTGTTGTGATGGCTTGAATCGATGAAGAAATGTGGTGGGGGAGGTCTTTGCAAATAATGGCACCTCTTTTTTAAAATATAATACAAACAAAATTATACAAACAGAAAAACATTAATAACACAGCAGAAAAAAATCCTATACAAACCATGATCCCCCATCTCCAGGACGATTGGGGAGTTACAGCCATTCCCCCCACCCCTATGGAGCCCCATTCCCCTTCCAAAATTGCATCAATTCTTTTGAAGATGTATGCCCCTTCCTCTTGATTAATACAAAATCAATGAAGTCTACCCATAGTATCTATAAATATATTTTTACTTATCAGTCCCTTATTACATGTTAACTTTTCATTAGTACTTATATCCTGTTGGAGTTTTTAGAGTCTTGTATATACTGTCTGGAGAAGGTGTGGCTGGGAGAGACCTTTCTGGGCTGGAGTAATTGTCAATCTATTCAGCACTAAACAATTGTCCTCCCCCCCCCCCCCCCCCCCTCCTCTTGCTGCTCCCCCTTTCTGCCATCCTGCCATAGCCCCACCTTCACCCCACATGAGCTCCACAGCTAGTAGTCTATTGAAGAAAGTAGTTGTGTTTGTCCATTTGCTGTTTGATCTGTTCATTTGGAAGTAATGAAACTTTTTATTCTTTCTCTTACAAATGTCTCAGAACACGTTACTGAGACTGTAAGTGTCAGTTGATAAGGAAAAGGGGTGGACGACTATGGGGAATGTGAAGCTAGTCTGCTCTGTAAATCTGTGAACTGCGGAGCTAGAGGAATTCAACCAGAAATTCAAAACTGCCCAACATGCCTCAAACCTTTCAATACCATGTATTGAATTAATGGCAATTCAGTAATGATCCTGAGAATCCAGTGTGATGTAGTGGATAGAGTGACACACAAGTACTCTGGAGATCCTTGCTTAGCCATGGAAACTCACTGGGAGTGTGGAAATGGTTTGATCACAACGGTCAAACCCAATATTTCTTTTCCCCAACAAACACAGCCTATTTAATGAGTGCTATTTCAGGAAGCAATTCTATGAGTCAGGCAATTCAAAAGCTCAGGTAGTGGTGCTTCAATTAGATACTACCACATTCTTTGCTGAAGAAAGCAGAAGACCCTAAAGAAGCAATATGTCTTTATAACAGGCACAATAATGGATCAATATTACTTGGTAACATCCATTTACTGCCCAAATGCTAGCCAAGACAAATTTTTAGATGAGACACTAAGGGATGCTAACAACATTTGGTAAAGTGGCTGCTGTCATTGGAGA